AACATTTTGCAAGCTAGCAATTATGCAGGGTATCGAATAATCGCACATTTTCATCTCAATTACATTGGATTTTATTTTATTTTATAATTTTCACAGCATTTGCTACACGGATTTTTGCCGGCTGTAAATGTATCCAGCCAAAAGCTGATCAAATGGCCTGGCAAAAACCACCAACGACCCCCCTCCCCCATCCCCATTCTCTTCCAGCCGCCCCTCTGTATATAATAATTATTAAACATGATTATGGAATTTCAACAATTATTATTAATGAAGAACTGAATGCATGCTACTGCCAATTCACCCACACACACACAGACAGAGAGAGAGAGGGTGAGAGAGAGAGAGAGAGGGAGATATATTCCATATATTTCCTTGTAAATTGTAATTAAACCAACAACAGCTTTCACAGCGCACATTGCGTATACGCAATGTGGTAGCCAGACTCATGCATATATACATATATATATGTATGTGGATTGCCACACTATCTTTTCGTTTGCCATGCACGATTAGTCAAATTGCATTGGAAATGATGTTGGCAGCTGTTGAACTTTTGCATCTCGTCTTCTTCTAATTTAAATATGCGCAACGAAGCCTGAAAGTTGAAGAGAGAAAATAGTGAAATTATGTCGGAAATTGATTGCTAAATGAAAACATTATGCAATTTTACTGACTCTATGCGAACTATTTCTATAGTTTGTGTTGACGGAGAGAGTAAAACCAAGTGTGCTAGGCCTAGATAATATTTTGAACAACTTTACTGCAGTTTGGAACATTTTACTAATTGTGCTGCAGATTGTGTGAAAAATGTTGTTGATTAATTAAAACGACTGTTGTACAAATTGCGATTGAATGTGATTAATAAGTTTCTATTATTTAATGACTCTAATAACAATGCAAGCGGGCCGAGTGATGCTGTTTGGGATAAATGCATATTAAAAGTTGTTTGAGTCATCCAATAATTATTATTTATTCATAGATTCTTGCGTGACATTTAAGTGTGAATTGAACTTGGGAGAAATTTGTTTACAATATTGATAAATAGGAATTTTGTTCAAAGGTTGTTAATATCATGTTTTTTTTTTTTAAGTTATCAATTGTTGACATAGTAGTAGAAAAAGGAGTAGATAGTAGTAGATCTAGTAGTAAGTATGGTTGAAGGTAGAGAACATATAGTAGTAAACATGGCAGGCAGAGCAGAGGTAGATATAAAGCAGCAAATATAATGGATAGGTAGTAGACACCGTAATGGACATAATAGTAGACATAGTACTAGATAAATGTAGTAGACCTACATCTATGTCTGCTAATAATATACAGGTAAAGAGTAAAAGACATATCATGGCCATTAGCAAGCTGTGTTAGCAGTAGATAGAGTAGTAGGCACTATATGCTAATGATATATTAGTAGTTATATTTAGATAATTTAGTTGACATATGAGTAAATGTAATAATATACTTAATAGATGAAGTAACAAACATTATGCCTACTAACGAATTAGTTTAGTTGTAGATAAGGATAGGATAGGAGCAGAAATAATAGTATAAATAGTATATCAGTGGAAATAAAATAAATAGTGGACAGCTCGCAGAGGTTTTTTGAAGTTTCATAATGAAATGAAAGCCAATACACAAAATGAGTGCCGTGATAACAATAGAGAATCCATCTAATAAGGCCAGTAAAGCGACCTATTTGAATCATCTACTATTTCATGCACAATGACATCGTTATCCTGAGATTTCTAATATCATATATCCAATAATTTCTAGTTTTTTGGCAAACCTTATACGGCTACTACTTTTATTTGGTCAACCTACATAAAAAACAATAAAATAATCTGATTCTTAGTCGAATTTCGATAGTTTTACAATAGATCTACAAATAGTTGAGAGAGCGTGTGCTTGCAAATGCTTTTTGCGCTGCTCTAAATAACAATTAATTCGAGAAATGTTTTCATTTATAAATGAGCTTTGTTTTCATTATAGTCGCAATTGTCACATAACTCTTTGAAGCTACTCCGTTTTTTGTTTTTTGTTTCATTTCATTTTCTTGTTGTATTGAAAGTGAGCCCTGGAGAAACTTGATTCAATTACTTAGCGACTGGCTGTGGAAATAAATGGTAGCTTGAGTGCACACGCTGGATTTACTAGTAATTTACTGCGCAGACACACACGCACACACGCTCACACATACTCGTACATATATAAATATTCATACATGTGTGTAGATGTGTATGTCTATAATAAAGAGCATACCATGGCAGCTTTTGCATACCACTTTGACATTCTACTGCAGCTTTTGTATGCAGTTTGTCGGCATCATTTTTTTTTAAAGAGTTGTGGGTGGGAGAGAGAGAGGGAGGGAGAGCTAGGTTGGAGTTGCTGGCATTGCCGGCAGCTAAAATGTCATCAAGACTATGCGAGACAAAAGAGCGTCGCTCTCTCCTGGTAGCAGCCATTAAAAAACGAACGGAGAGGCAAAAAAAAAAAAAATCTAATGAATTAAAGTCTGAAATGAATTAGTTTTTCAGCTACAGATTTTATGGCCTTTGGCAGTCTGTGTGCGGCAGAGAGAGAGGGAAAGGCAGAGTGTGTGTGCTAGAAAGGAAGAACATTAATGACGAGTGGAAATGGCATCTTGTGCTGTGTGCAAACAAAGGATCAAAGAAAATGCACATGTGCAAGGCAAAATAGTAGAAAATTGACTATATATGAATGAGAAAATATATATAAATATGTGAATATATTTTAAAAATATTTCAATGGAATTCACAATATGTATATATTGGTAAAAATATCTATAGATATTCGTCTCATTTGCAAACTATTGATGACATCTTAACAATGCATTGATTATAATTAACAACAAATAAATTTTAGTAATTTTTAACACTCATAAATTGCAATTTGGCGAAATTTATAATTGGCTAACGGCGGCTTCTATAAAATATTTAAACTCAATTAACTTGCAATGCATTTAATTGCGCGTGTGTGTGTGCGAGTGATTGTGTGCATGAATCACGCCTAGCCAAATAAATTATCATAACACACAAACACACACACACATTTGCATAATAACTAATAATTATAAATAATATTTCATGTGAATTTTGCTAGTGTTGCAACAACAACAACAACAATTGAGTGGCAACAACATTTACAGCACGCACAGCTAACACATAATCCAGTTCAGTGGCAATTTGTGTAGTACGCCCATGCTCCACCTCCACCTCTGCCTTTTCCCCAGCCAACCGAAAATTCTGTAAAACAAGCTTTTTATTCTTTTTTGTCATTCTGCAATTAAAGCGAAATGTTAGTCGGATCTCTATTGTCCAATCTATGTTAATGCAAATGCTGATTTAGCGTTAATTAGATGTGCAAAGAATAAAAAAGGGAGATACATATGTATTATACATTAAAATAAAATGCTGGAATAAAGGTTACTAAATAAAAATCAAAAAATAAAATATTGGAATAATGATCACATAAATAAAATAAATGTTTTTATATACAAAGTATTAATATCGAAGTAATGTAATGAGTAATGTTTATAAATAATAATAAAGTGTTAATGTACAGAATTAGTAAATAATATATATAATATATAATAGAAAGTCATATTAACTAAATAAGAATAGTGAATATTAAAACAAAAACATAAATAATATTTGTATAAAAAAAAATATACAAAAAATAGAAAATAGAAAAAATAGAAAATATATAAAAAATAGAAAAAAAGTAGTAACTATAAAAATATATAAAAAAATCCAGAAATTAATAGAAAGAATACAAAGTAAAAAATATATTTTTAGAAAAACTTCAACAAGGTTTAAATGAAAATCAATCAAATTTCATTTTAAATATATACCTATAAATGTCTAATATTTAATTTATATAGCATACATGTCAAAGAACTATTGTATTAAAAATGCAAATGAATTTAAACTAAAAAAAAAGCCTACATAAAACTTAAAGTACATAATACATAAAATACGTAAATACTCAGCAGAAATATATTCCATAAAGGAAAGGAGAGGAACGTCACTTGAATGCTTAGGTCCGCTCACTCTAGCCGTTCACTTAGAGTTTCCCAGTTCAGCCTGAATTCTTAACTTAGGGTGTGGGACGAGTTTTTTTTTATTTTCTTAGTATATTTTGCTCCGGCGAGGAGGAAATATTTTTGCCTGCTGTTACACGTTGCGTACTCAAGTAGTTTTTAATTTGAATACTTTGCACACTCTTGAACCTTGCCGGTCGTACAAGGTGAAGTCCTTTGGACCCTTTTTACAGAGACCAGAGACTTTTTTTTTTTTTTTTTGAATGATTTGCATATTTGTGTGTGCGTTAAATATATTAAGAAATACCACAATTATTATCTTTAACTTTAATTTTATTCTTTCTACTTGCAGGCTACGCAAAAGATATTTACAGAGCTGAAAGAGGTAAGCAACATTTATTCACTTTAAAATTTAAAGAAAAAAAAAAAAAAAAATTAGAATTTTTAAAATATAATCGAGGAACTGAAAGCAAGGAATATTTTTACTACTTTTCAAACATAAAGTAACTAAGCAACTGTCATATCTAAAATTGTGTTTAAATTTGCAAGTACATTTGTTTAATGCCAATTTTCATTAAAATTTAAATATTTTATAAATTGCCTCTATCTTTTATTTAAATTAACATAATTCACAAAAGACAACAAAAACTCTAGTCTTAAAAAAAAAGACAAAACAGAAAATAGATACACATTTCCTAATGTCTGCCAAAAATTGCGCAACAACAACTTTTGTGCATGTTGTGTTTGGGCCATAAACTAGCTAAAAAACGAATAAATATCCGAAAGACCGCCAAATGTTAGCCGGGAAAAAACTCCAAGTGCAGCTTTTTACTGCGCTCTTGGACCATTCACATGCCGGCACTTCTCTAACCATAACTACGAGTGCTCCCCATTGTGCAATTTATTACGCGTATGTGCCGACCAAAATTTGAAAAAATTTAGCACAGTGGAACCGTTGTGTTAGCTATGATATGAAAATGGAAAACTTAGTACTGCAAAATTGAATAAAGCATATGTATTATATATTTATTTTTTATATATTTATTTTTTATATATTTATTTTTTATATATTT